GAGAGAGGATCTTGCTCTGTCATCCAGCCTGGAGTGCAGTGGTGTGATTATGGCTCACTGCAGCCCCAACCTCCTGGGCTCAAATGATCCTCCACCTCAGCCTCTGAAGTAGCTGGGACTACAAGGGTACACCAACACGTCCAGCTAATTTTTAAATTTTTATTTCAAAGATGGGAGAGTCTCACTATGTTAATCAGGCTGGTCTTGAACTCCTGGTCTCAGGTGATCCTCCATCCTCAGCTTCCCGAAGGGTTGGGATCACAGGCGTGAGGTACCCCAGTGGCCAGAAAACAGCATCCTAATCCCTAAGTAACATCTTAACAGTGCCTCCTGTTGGAGGTGCATGCATTAACAGAGCTCTCTAACCCCTGTCTGCTCCTGGCTTACAACCTACATGGAGAACCAGACACGCTCCAGGAAGTTACACAACACTAAAGGTACACTTGTATTGATATTACACTTTACAGATCACAAAAATCTTTCATATGAGTTATCTCCTGTGATCCTCACAACAGCCCCCTGTTTATAGAGAGCATCAGAAAGGATGAGTGATGTCAAGGGTCACGCAGAGAAGCAATGGCCGAATTACAAGTCTCCAAAGGACTGTCACCAGATTGGTCACTGTGGAGTACCAAGTAGTGCTGCTGTATAAAGGCAACACTTCGAGATGAAGCCCTTTCTCCAGCATCTGTGTGGGTGGGAGGCCGGTGATCCAGTCTGTTATGCACATTGAACAAGCTCAAGTTTTGCCATCCACTTGACGCCCTACAGCACAGCGGTGTGGGCTCATCTCTAGGACCTCTCTCTAAGGGGTACGTCCCTCATCTTGTGGAGATCGGTGCCCCTTCCAGGCCTCTCAGTCTGGACTGAGTTGGGCAAACGGCTGCGTTCACGGACCGGGCTCGCCGCCGATGACTCCGCTCGGCCTAGGGAGGCGGCCGAGAGCCCATCGGGCTCCTTCCTTCCCTCCCGACTCTATGGCGGAAGTGAGTTGTCTCGGCCGAAACACCACAGCGTTCTCAGTGGTGGGCTGAATGGACTCGTCCATATCAGGGGGATCTTCCTCACCATCAAATCTTAGAATCAGAGAAAGAACCACGAAAAAGTAGTCCCCAGATCAGAGAAAAACGCATGACTATCTGTATATGCTCCTGTGACTATGCGGACAATGCGGCCGACTGCATGCGTGCGGAGGCCCGGCCAGCTGGGCACGTGCCCCCTCCGGGGCCGCGGGATCAAGTGAGCCTGCCGGCGCGCTGGGGGCGGTGCGGCTTCCGGTCCCGGCTCAGCCTCCGACCCGGGTAGTCCGGAGCCTGCTGGGAGAGCGGTGGCCTCTGAGAGGTGGGTCGTGGACGGGATTAGGGGAGGCGGGAGCTATTTTAACTGTCTGGCCCCTCTCCTGTGCAGGCGTGGGCATCCCCCGGGGTGGCGGAACGAGGGCGCTCCTTCCAGCTTCCGAGTCTGGCCAGCCTGGGCGCGGGGCGCCGCCCCCGAGACACCCGAGGGATTTAGTCCTCCCTGGTTCCCTGGACCGTGGAGGTTCGCGCGTAGTGGCGGCGAGAGGTACGGGACCCGGGCGGGCATTCCTTCCTGCGTCCCTCCTGAGTCTCTTGATACGAAGCCAAATAGCTTTCTGTTTTTTTGCTTTCAGCCTGTCTCTTGTGGCTCAGCGCCGTGGGGAGGTTGACGCATACTTGCGGAGGTCGCACCTGGGCGTGAGGAGGAGGAGGAGGAGGAGGAAGGGCATGAGCCGAGCCTGAGGAATCCGTGGTCCCGACTCTACACTCCAGGTGGGAATGGGCGTACCCTGCCCTCCAGCCAGGCTTGAGAAGGCAGCTGTTAGCTTCTGCTCCTCGGGGGACCAGAGGGATGAGACTTTTCAGACCCTAATCTGGTGGGCCCTGCTGCTTACAGCTCACTGTGGGGCAGGGGACAAGGTTTTCCCAGACCAAATGTGGCTGCTGTGGGAAGGAGAATGGGGTTGGTTAGGACAGACTTCTTGGAGGAGTGGATCCTAAAATAGCACATAGAATGAGGGAGGAGCCCGGGCTTAGGGCAAAAGTGAGCTGTATGGGTTGTATGAATGATTGCGGGGGACACAAGAGGGAGAAGTCGTGGAAGAAAGGGAGCCAGACCAGAGCCAGGAGTCTCTAGAAGGGAAGAAACTGCTGGATGGAGTTAAAATAGAGGGCGAAAGGAGCACGAGAGCCTTTCTCTCTCCCTCTCTCTCTCTCTCTTTTTTTTTTTTTTTGAGACAGATTCTTGCTCTGTTGCCCAGGCTGGAGTGCAGTAGTGCAGTCTAGGCTCACTGCAACCTCTGCCTCTCAGGTTCAAATTCTTCTGCTTCAGCCTCCCGAGTAGCTGGGACTACAGGCGCCACCACCGTGCCTGGCTAATTTTTGTATTTTTAGTAAAGACGGGGTTTCACCATATTGGCTAGGCTGGTCTCGAACTCCTGACCTTGTGATCTGCCTGCCTTGGCCTCCGAAAGTGTTGGGATTACAGGCATAAGGCACCATGCCCAGCTGCCCTTCTCATTCTTGTTGCAAGCGTGTATGATAAACTAATCCGGCAACCCCTGGAAGAACCTGGAATTCCTGGGTTGGGATGAATTGAGCAGTTTTGTACTAGGTACTAGGAATTACCATTATAGTGATGAATATAGTCTCTGTGCTGTAAACACAATATAGGAATTGTCTGCCTAGGGGTAGAGACAAAAACAAAACATGATGGTGCTTGATACCTGATCGCCAGGTGAGAGGCAGAACTGGCCTGATCTCTGGGCAGTCCGAAGACTTGTCCTGTATCCTGTGCTGAGCACCAGTTTAAAAGGAGCAGAGATGGCCGGGCACGGTGGCTCATGCCTGTAATCCAGGCACTTTGGGAGGCCAAGGCAGGCAGATCACCTGAGGTCAGGAGTTCGAGACCAGCCTTGCCAACATGGGGAAGCCCCATCTCTACTAAAAATACAAAAATAAGTCAGGGATAGTGATGCGCGTCTGTAATCCCAGCTACTTGGGAGGCTGAGGCAGGAGAATCACTCGAACCTGGGAGGTGGAGGTTGTAGTGAGCTGTGATCGTGTCATTGCACTCCAGCCTGGGTGACAGTGAGACTCCATCTCAGAAAAAAAAAAAAGGTTTTAAAAGGGACAGAGACAAACTGAAATATACTTCTTATTTTCACCATCTGTCAACCAGATGAATGAAATATACTTAAAGGAGAGCTGCCAGGATTCCATGCAGATAAGAAATGACGTGGAACAGGCATGTTTTTGAGGACTGGGGACCTTCAGCCTGTAGAAAGGGTGAGGAGGTGGTGGAAGAGCTGCCTCTAAATAAAAGCTCACTTGTGGAAAAGAGGTGAGACTTACTTTGTGTGACTTTGGGTACCAAAACTAAAACCAGTGGTTTAAAGCGCTAAGAGACAGATTCCTTCAGCAGAAAGAATAACTGGGCTGGGTGAGGTAATCCCAGCACTTCGGGAGCCCAAGCAGGTGGATCTCGAGCTCAGGAGTTTGAGACCAGCTTGGGCAACGTGGCGAAACCCTGTCTCTACTAAAAATACAAAAAATTAGCCAGGTGTGGTGGTGTGCGCCTGTGGTCCCAGCTGCTCGGAGGCTGGGATAGGAACCTGGGGGGCAGAAGTTGCAGTGAGCAGAGATCATGCCACTGTACTCCAGTCTGGCTGATGGAGTGAGACCCCGTCTCAAAAAAAAAAAAAAAAAAAAAAAATTTTGAATAGAACTTCACCTGGTTGTTGTGAGAGGTGGTGAATTCTCTGTCAGGGAGGTTTGCAAGCTGAACACTCTCAGCTAAGGAACTTGAAGTTCCCTCTCCCTCTGGGCGTGGATTTAGTTAGTTTCTACATTCTGGTTCTCAAGTCTGTTCTCTCCTTCCCACTGCCTCCACTACTGCGGTATAGCCTTGCATCATCTCTTGGCAATAACAATATAATAATGAATTATAGCAGCTAATACTTAGTGGATGTTTACTGCTTGTCAGGTACTGCTTTAAGTGTTTTACAAATGCTAACTCATTTAGCCCTCAAGATAACTCTTTCAAGGTAGCCATTATTATCTTCTTTGCATATATGGCACGTAGCTGTTAAGCACCTTGCCCAGGTCACGAGCATGGAGCAAGCGGCAGAGTGGAGTTCCGGTCCAGGTTGTCTGGCTTTCAAGTCATGGTTTTTCACTACTATTCTGTATTTTACATTGTTACCGTAACTCTCACTACTATCCCAGTTTACAAATAAGAAGTTCAGAGAGGTTGAGGGATTTACTTAAGGTCACAGAGCAAGATGTGGCTGAGGTGGGATTCAGAGCCAGGGCTGTTGGGTATGAAACCCCCACACCTGATTATGCTGCTTCTGTAACTACGTCCACTGTAGTGGCCTCTAACTGACTTCCTGCCCAGCCTTTGTGCCTTAAATCCACAAGTTTTTACCCTGGAATCTGTGGATGTGGCTGTCCCAGGTGAGATTTGGAATGTGTGTGTCAGTCATGGTTTTAAAGCCCAGACTTCATGCCTTCATTGACTTCTCAGAGCAGTTTGTGATCTCAACACAGTAGAGATCACAAACCTTTGCCGTTTAGCCAGAGGTACTTTTCATTTTTTAAAATTTATTGTATTACTTTTTTTTTTTTTTTTTTTGAGACAGGGTCTCACTTTGTCACCCAGGCTGGAGCACAGCGGCATGATCTCAGCTCACTACAGCCTCAACCTCCCAGGTTCAAGTGATTCTCTTGCCTCAGCCCCTCAAGTAGGTGGGACTCTAGGCGCTTGCCACCAGGCCTGGCTAATTTTTTGCACTTTTGGTGGAGATGGGGAGTCATCACGTTGCCCAGTCTGGTCTTGAACTTTTGAGCTCAAGTGATTTGCCTTGTCCTCCCAAATTGCTGGGATGACAGGTGTGAGCCACTGCACCCGGCCCCGAGGTACATTTCTAATGCACAGATTTGATCTTGGCCCAGTGATGCATTGACTCTTCACTGCTCTTAGGACAGAGTGCAGATGCCTTAACCTGGTCATTCAAGGTCCCAGGAAATCAGACTCCAATCTTCCTGTGCTTCTTACTCCCACCTCGGACTCTCTCCATGGTGATAATGTTTACTTGCCTGCTTTTCCTTCATCCTGCCAGCCTGAGGGCAGGGGCCATGCTTGCCTTTGAATGGCTAGTGCCTGACAGATGTTGCACAGTGAGCATCTGCTGTAAACTACATTGAAGGCTGTAAAATGGAATCCAGGCCTGTCCTTTGGACGATAACTTTGAAGCTCTTGCCCTTTCTGATCCCGAGAGTTGATGATTCTCTGGTAGTCTGTGCTGCCAGAATGCAGAGAAGGGCCAGTGGAGGCAGAAGCCGAGCTGAGCCTAGAAGGAAGTGAACAGATAAGCTGTGGACTGTTGAAGATGTCAGCATTCTGACCTGCACTTCTCTTGCAGGGTGGCCCTTGGGTAGGGTGAAATCCCTGTCTTTGTCCTCGTTCCCCACCTTGGTGTGGGTCACTGGCTGCAGGATGAACTGTCGCTCGGAGGTGCTGGAGGTGTCAGTGGAGGGTCGGCAGGTGGAGGAGGCCTTGCTGGCTGTGTTGCACACGGTGCTCCTGCACCGCAGCACTGGCAAGTTCCACTACAAGAAGGAGGGCACCTACTCCATTGGCACCGTGGGCACCCAGGATGTCGACTGTGACTTCATCGACTTCACCTACGTTCGTGTCTCTTCTGAGGAACTGGACCGCGCCCTGCGCAAGGTTGTTGGGGAGTTCAAGGTAAGGGTGTGGCGCAGCGGGTGGCAGGGGGACCTTGAGTGCCCCTCCATCCCAGCTTGCTCTGGAACCAGCCTCCTGAGTGTGTGTATTGGGTTCTTTCAGGTTCTGAGGAACAGGTGTGTTGAGTGCTCCTCTTCAGGGGAGGGCTTGTGTGTCTGTGTGTGTGTTGCGGGGGCGGGGTGGAGGAGGGGGACGCATAAATGTGCCTAGGGGTAAAAGGGAGAGCAGGAAGCCCTAACAGCATTGGTGGCCAGGCCCCTTGGGCCATCCTTGCTTCTGTGGTCTTGACCTTCTCTCTGGTACAGCTCTCTCTACTTCTGCTTCCACTTTTCCTTTCCCACATGAGACTTCTGCAGAGGGCAGCTTGCTTGGCTCAGGTGGCTGCCATCCAAGATGGAGTGTCCCTTTTGGCAGTGTGGCATGTGTTTGTGAGTGCCTGGGTAGGAAAAAGATATGTAAGGGACACCGCAGGCTGCTGATGTTGGTCACCTCAGGAGGTGGGAGTGGTAGTGTGGTTTTCCTGTGGTCGGAGTCAGTGTTTCACCATTTTATTGAGTGGGTACTTTAAAGTTTTAAAGTAGCAAAGATAATTTTTCTTTCTCTTTTATTTTTTTAAATTTCTTTTTTTTATCGCATTTTAGGTTTTGGGATAATTTTTCTTTCTTCCTTTTTTTTTTTTTTTGGACAGAATCTCACTATGTCATCCCAGTCGTGAACTTTTTTTTTTTTTTTGAGACAGAATCTCACTATGTCATCCCAGTCGTGAACTCCTGGGCCTTGAGCGGTCCTCTCATGTCAGCTTTCCAAGCAGCCGGGACCACGGGTGTACACCACCACCACCATCCCCAGCTAATATTTGAGGAATTTTTTTGTCAGGCCTGGTGGCTCACAACCAGTGGTCTCAGCACTTTGGGAGGCTGAGGTGGTCAGATTGCTTGAGCCCAGGAGTTGAAGACCAGCCCTGGAAACATGGCAAAACTCTGTTTCTACAAACAATAAATTAGTGGGACATGGTAGCACATGCCCGTAGTCCCAGACACTTGAGCAGCTGAGGTGGGAGAATTGCTTGAGCCTAGGAGTTCAAGGCTGTAGTGAGCCATGATCATGCCACTGTACTCCAGCATGGGCGACAGAGCAAGACCCTGTCAAAAAGAAAAAAATAATTTTTTTTTTTGAGACGGAGTTTCACTCTTGTTACCCAGGCTGGAGTGCAATGGCGCGATCTCGGCTCACCGCAACCTCCACCTCCTGGGTTCAGGCAATTCTCCTGCCTCAACCTCCTCAGTAGCTGGGATTACAGGCACGCGCCACCATGCCCAGCTAATGTTTTTGTATTTTTAGTAGAGACGGGGTTTCACCATGTTGACCAGGATGGTCTCGATCTCTTGACCTCGTGATCCACCCGCCTCGGCCTCCCAAAGTGCTGGGATTACAGGCTTGAGCCACCGCGCCCGGCCTGAAAAAAAGAATTTTTTTGTAGAGAACAGGTGTTAATGTGTTTCCCAGGCTGGTCTTGAACCAGGCTGGTCTTGAATTCCTGGCATGAGCCAGTGTGCCCATGCCTGTAATTTTTCTTTTAAAGGCATCTGCTCTGTTAGAACACAGGGGAGCGGTGTGTCTGACATTCCATAAATGTTTGTAGAGCCCTCCACTGTGCTGGGCACTGTGTGCTCATTGCAGGGGGTTGCTCAGTGTCAGGTAAAAGCTATCCCCCATTGGCCCTCCAAACCCAGAAAGGGCAGGTCTATAAGCGGTTTCCTAGTCACCCTCAAGAGAAGCAGTAGCATTCAGCCCTCTGTCCTCCAGGTGCCCGTGAGAGGAAGGTGGAGCAGAGAGGTTAAGAGCATGGGCTTTGGAGCCTGGCTCTACCACCCAGCAAGTGTGTGACCTTGGGCTAGTGGCTCCACTCAAAATCGGAGTAATAATCCTATTGACCTCAAAGGGCGGGTGCACTGCAAGGACTAAATAAGTCAAATATGTCCAATGTTTGGAACAGAGCCTGTTACACAGTAAGCATTACAGGTGTGTTAGCCATTCAAGGTTACATGACCTTGGTTTGTCAGTGAAGGAGAGCCTCTTCCCTGATAAGTGGTTCAGGATTTAAGGCATCCTTACCCTCTGGGTTGGCATTAACTCAGGTGAAAAGGAGCTTCTGGGTCATGGGTGCCCTCGGAAGAGGAGTATGGGGCTACCCACACCCATGGGGTGGCATGGGCAGAATCACTGGACTGGATGGTCATGTTTGCTTCTCAGGGGAAAGGAGGGAGAGACGCTAGGTATGGTCTGTCTGGTACTTCCCTTCCCCATTCTGTTGCTTGGTTTCCTTCTTTCTGAGCAAGGCTCCCTGGGCTCTATAGTTCCCTCTTCCTGCTTTCATAAAAGAGACTGTGGACTGGGTGCAGTGGCTTGCAATTGTAATCCCAGCACTTTGGGAAGCTGAAGCAGGAGGATTGCTTGAGGCCAGGAGTTCCAGAATAGTCTGGATAACATAACAATACCCTGACTCTAACAAAATAAAAAAAATTTAAAATTAAAAATTAGCCAAGTGTGCTTATAGTATCAGCTACTCAGGAGGCTGAGGTGGGAGCCCAGGAGTCCGAGGCTGCAGTGAGCCATGATTGCTCCACTGCACTCCAGCGTGGGTGGTAGAGTAAGGCCCAGTCTCTTTAAAAAAAATACCAAAAGGATTATGTTTAATTGGCAGTGCAGACAAATACAGGTTACAGCAAAGAGGGAGATGTTGACGAGGTGATTTGAGAGAACATTTTGAAGGATATGGGCTAAAGGGGTGGTGGTGTGGAAGGAGAAGGCCTTTCATGTAAAGGTGAAAAGCAAGGATTTTGAAATGAGACAATCCAGATTCAAATCCCAGTCCAGCCATTCATAGGCAAGTTACCTTACTCCTCTAAGCCTTACTTGCAAGTTACTTACTTACTTGTCTTTCTTGCAAGTTACCTTACTCCTCTAAGCCTCGTGGTGCCTGAGTGAGAGTTCACGGGGTTTGTGGAGAGGAGCCAGTGGGGTTGTGTGTGTAAAGTTCCTGGCTCAGAATACGTGCCTGCACACCAGTTATTCCTGTAATAATCAGTTCTTCACCAGGCTGGAGGAGTTGAGTTTGGAGACAGGTTATGTTGGTTTGCTTGCACTACACCATTTCAGGCTGGCAGCTTGCTGTGTCACTTTACCCAAATCCTTTACCCTCTCCCAGTCTTGTTTCCTTGCCATCCCTGCATGATTACTGTAGCTAAGAGAGGATAATTCCCTGGGGCGTGGGAAGCAGCCCTCACAGGCGGGAGCTCAGAGGCCTCAGCTCGCTCATTCGTTCCCTTCTTCCCTAGGATGCGCTGCGCAACTCTGGTGGCGATGGGCTGGGGCAGATGTCCTTGGAGTTCTACCAGAAGAAGAAGTCTCGCTGGCCTTTCTCAGACGAGTGCATCCCATGGGAAGTGTGGACGGTCAAGGTGCACGTGGTAGCCCTGGCCACAGAGCAGGAGCGGCAGATCTGCCGGGAGAAGGTGGGCGAGAAACTCTGTGAGAAGATCATCAACATTGTGGAGGTGATGAATCGGCATGAGTACCTGCCCAAGATGCCCACACAGTCGGAGGTGGATAATGTGTTTGACACAGGCTTGCGGGACGTGCAGCCCTACCTCTACAAGATCTCCTTCCAGATCACCGATGCCCTGGGCACCTCCGTCACCACCACCATGCGCAGGCTCATCAAAGACACCCTTGCCCTCTGAGCCCACCCGGTCCCCGGGAGCTCCTCCATGGCTCCCAGACCTTGGCTTTGGGGGATTGTACTGTTAGGCCTGTGGGCCTTGGAACCTGCTCTGGGTCATGGGTGAGACTTGGAAGGGGCAGCCGCTGGTTTCGCTTTGTGGTTGCCAGCCTCTGGTCATCCTTTTCACCTTTGCAGATGGTTCAGTCCTGCCCGTACTGTCCATACCCCTGGTGGGGCCCCTTCCTTCTCTACTGTACAGAAGAGCTACCGCTAGGATGGGGAATAAAATTGAGAATGTGAGTTTGGGTGGAGCCATCTCTCCTTGGCTTGTGTCTGCCCCGACGTGTTAACACTTTCTGGCATTCCTGAGGACACAGGTGTGTGTTGAGAGCATTGTTCCAAGATGAAGTGGGTGGATGGGATTAAAGGTATATTAAAAACTGTCTGGGTATTCACACAAAGCAGGTGTTACCCAGATGTGGCCGTAACCAATCCCATGAATGAAGGTACATTGGAGGGTGAGGGTCTGTTGCTTTTGGATGTGACTGAGCTACTTCTTCCTTTTTCTCCACCAGTCTACTCCCTAGTTCAACACTTCCAAACTCACTTTCCTTTTTTTTCTAAACTTTCATTTTGCAGATTATTTCATCACCCAGGTATTGAGCCTAGTACTCGTTAGTTATTTTTCTGATCCTCTCCCTCTTCCCACCCTCCAAAAGGCCCCAGTGTGCATTGTTCCCCTCTGTGTGTCCATGTGTCCTCACCATGTAGCTCCCACGTGGATGTGAGAACGTGGTATTTGGTTTTCTGTTCCCATGTTATCTCCTCCCTTTCTAGGGAAGCTGTGGCATCCGCGGCCTTTATGTCACCTGGTCTTGCTTCATCATGATCCCAGAGAATGCCTTCTCTGCCTTCATAGCGAATACAGATCCCCACGTGCACCAGAAAGGTCATTTGATGTGGGGGGTGTCTGGAGACAGATGGGCCAGCTTGAGACTATCTGGCATCTGGCGACACTCCTAGCTTGGACTGGGTCTTGCCATTGCCTCAGGAACTCACATTCATTTCCACACCCGCATACTCCAGCCCCCGTTGTATGCCGTGTGCTCATCGATACAGTCCATGTTTCACAATGCTTTTGGGCTGCTTCTGGGCCAGCTCTAACCAGACTGATTCTGTGTAGGGAGGGATGCTATGGGAGAAATGGGGTGGGAGTGGGGGGTCTTGTCCATGGTCCCGGAGCAGGGTAGGTAGCCAGGATGGCCAGGAAGTGTTTGCATTTGGAATGTGCTTTTCCCATTTCAAGTCACCCTTGGCCACGTGATGTTTCCTAACACGTTTTGTGATGTTCTACTTGATCTCTGGGGCATCAGAGAGTTGATTCAGGAGGGGAGTTTATAGCTGGAGAAGGCCTATTTGTAGCAAGTTCTTGATGGCATGTGACCCCCACTTGGCATGGTGCAGTTTGGGGACTCTTCCTGCTTTCCTCCCAGCCAGCCATCAGCTAATCTAATCCCTTCTGAGGGGTTGACTAGTACAGGTGTTGGCTGGCAGTGACTTTATTTCTTAAAAGAGGACTCAAGGCTTGCTATGGAATTTTTTGGTAGACCTGGCAGGAGGGTCTTCCTTCCCTATCTGCTTTTCCAGTCTGTGCTTTTCTGCAGCTGGACTCTGCTCCACACTCCCCCACTGGCTTGGCCGTGGGGCACCTAGCTGCTAGTGGGCTGCCTGGTCCACAGCACAGCAACATTTCCATCCCTTCTGGCATTGTGATTTCCCTGCAGTGAGGGACTGATTTATCCAGGGTCAGGACTGGAGTTCTGGTGGCTCAAATCTGTGCTCTCCTGTTGGTCTGTAAATGTGGCTCTACTTGGCCCTGTGGGGCCTGAGAAAATGTGTGGGGTGGACCTTGAAATCCCCATGCTCTGCTCTGCCTGAATGTCTCACTGCTGTGGAGTCTGCGGGAGGCACTGGCCTGCTTGTCCAGCCCCAGGAGGCTTCCAGAAGGGATGACGGACAAGGAAGGGTGGGAGTCACTTATCCTTAGGGCTGCCTGTGTGCCTCCTGGCTCACCAGTCACCTGGGCCACCTGGCAGCATAGAACTTTGGTCTAGGGACAAAAAGCCCAAGAAAGGGGACAGTCACCTTTGCCTCCTTTGTCTTGTGTCCTGCTCAGAGGGGCAGCACCCCAGCCTGCACGTGGGATGGGGTCTGAGGATCTGCTCAGGGATCTGCCCAGTTGGACTTCTTGGCCCTCTTTGCGAAAGGGAGGGACTCTTGGGGACAGGGCTTCTGGTTTTGGCTGGCTGGACTCGCATGGGGGTGCCTATGTGCCTTGGGGATGAGGAGAAATAAGGCGGCCCCGCCCCGGAGTCAGGTCTGTGGAGAAGGGGCGGTAGCCCACGGCGGCTGAAGCTCTTTCTCTAGGAAGGGCACAAGCACTCTGCGCAGCCGGTGGGGGCGTAGGGCGCCTGGGGTCCGCCCCTTAGTTCCCTCCCTGACGCAGCCGTCTGCCGCCCGCCAGCCTGGGCTCCAGCACATCTGGCGATCCCACCACATCTGGGCAGCCGGCGCTGGAGCATGAACGGCTCTCAGGTGGGCGCTGCGGCTGGGGCCGCCTGGCTGAGCTCCTGCTGCAACCAGTCGGGGTCGCCGCCGGAGCCCCCCGAGGGGCCGCGCGCGGTGCAGGCGGTGGTGCTGGGCGTGCTGTCCCTGCTAGTGCTCTGTGGGGTCCTGTTCCTGGGCGGCGGCCTCCTCCTCCGCGCCCAGGGCCTGACAGCACTGCTGGTCCGCGAGCAGCGTGCGTCCCGCGAGCCCGAGCCCGGCAGTGCCCGCGGAGAGGACAGCGATGACGATGACCACTCCTAGGCGCCTGGCTGCGCTCGGAGGTCTTCCGTCCCCATGCTGCCCCGGACTCTGTGCGGACGGCTGCTGCGGTTCCGACCCCTTTTCCGAAGCGGCGCCCCCCACACAGGTGAGAGGGCAGGCGTCAGGAGTACGGGCGCGGGGGGCCCGGGGGGCTACAGTAGCTTCCTTACTGAGGGGCTTATCGGGGCGCAGCAAGGCACCTGCTATCAGCGACTCGGGTTCTCAGATCCATAAGTCCACGGCGGGTGGGGCTGCAGCCACACAGGTGTGCGGGATCAGGAGATGGCTGCCCCGCCCCAGATGGTGTCTCCTGCAGTCCTGGCCCCCTCTTCCGGTCTTAAGTTTTCCCACCTTATGCCCTTTTTCTAGGAACAGAGGCTGCTGTGCCAGTGTAGGGTGGTTGTGGAGTCCGGAGGCCGCAGTGTGCTTTGGGGGCTTCTTCCCTGGACCCTGCCCTCACCCCCACGGTCTGCAACTGCCCCAGCCCCTATAGGTCCAAGGCCCAATTCTGCACTCCATGGGGCTGAGGAGACAGGCAGACAGCTTCAGCCTTTGACCTCAGCTTCCTGAAAAGCCTTTTCCCTGGAAGGGGGCTTGAGGGAGGTTCTTTGCCTGGACTTCCTCTTGAGACAGGGAGGAGAGTGTGGTCACGTTTGAGGGCAGAGCCAGGGGCCTGGGTGGCCCTGGGAATGGAGAGGTGTGTGGAAGGCTCTTCCCCGGCCCCTGCTCATGTCGTGGAGCAGTGGGGTGGGGGAGCAGTTGTAGCCCAGAGCAAGGAGCTTTGTGCGGTGTGTGTTGGGGGGTGTGGATGGCAGGGTTCCCAGCAGCTGGGGGGCCTCAAAAGCACTGCTCCAGGAAGTGGGGCTGAGGACTCCCAGCTGTGCGGGCTCTCTCTGGGTGTCTCGCTCTGTCTCTCCAAGGGCAGGAGCCATCTGGAGGGAAGGGCCTGGATGACCCGAGGACAAGGTAACTACAGGCCAAGGCCACCTGGGAAGAGCCACAGAGGCTGGAGAGGCCTTCACTGTTCCTTCCCTCTGTTCAGCTTTGCATCTAGGAGCCCCTGGGGGTTTCTGTGGGTGGGAGTGTTTGTTTATCAGGGGTGACTTTGGCCTCTCTTGCCCCCTGATTCTGGAGCCCCTCCCCTGCTTGCCTGGGGTAGGGCAGGGTCCCGGTTTCCCTCCAAGAAAGGAGTCAGGCTGGGTGCCTGTGAGGGGCAGGGGGAGGATGCGGGCAGGTGCAGCTAAGCAGCTGCGAAGCTGCCGACGACGTGTGATCTCTGCCCAGCAGCCCAGGATTTGGCGTTAATCCTGGGCAGCGGTGCCACACTGGCCTTGCTGAGCCAGGGACTTCTCATCTCAGGGCCGCCACCCCTGCCCCCTAAGAAGGAGGGCTGTCCAGGGCCCTGAGGGGTGTGTGCCATGTGTGTGTTACTGCACCTGGCACAGGCAGGGGGCAGGGTCCAGGGGACATTCCTGCCTCCTTTCTCTGGAGGAGAGGATGGGAACTTCCTCTCTTGATTGTACCCAGTTTCTCCCAGATCACTGGGAACCCCTTTTACATACAGGGAAGCTCAGAGAACAGTAAGTGACATGCTCATGTGAATGACAGAGCTGGAAGCAGACTCTGGGTCCTGATTCCAAGTTCACGGCCCATTCTGGCACTTGGGGGCCCCTCTTGTTCTGTCCTCCCCTGCTTTCTTATCACTCTTTGAGATGCTGGTGCAAAATATGGCCTCTCTTCATACATTTGTGAATCGGGGTGGACCCCTAAACCTCTGTGTCACTGCCCCCTTCCTGTCCTTGCTTCCCCAGGGCCCTCCCTACCCTCTGTCTACAGGGAGCAGTCTTCCAGATGCCAGCAACAGCTTCCTAGCCAGCTGGGCTCAGCTTTCCTGGCCTGAGCCTGAGGGGGGATGGGCTCAGAGGGTCAGCTGGAATAAACATCCATGGAAAAAAATCCAAGCGGTCAGAGCTGGGGATCAGGGCTGAAGGCTGATGACCTTTGGTTTGGCCTTTGGGCTCAAGTTGCTGTGGTGTGAGGGCATAGAGTGATTTGGTGCTGGGAAGGGCTCTGCCCCCCAGCATCTTCGTGTCTGCTCACACCCAGGCCGGGGCCAGGGCGGGGGATAGAGGCAGGGGCAACGACTTTCTTCATCCAACTTCCTCCTGTTGCTGTTCCTGGGCCCAGTACTTGGAAAGGAGGGTGTGGGGTGTGCCAGAGACCTCAGTGTTCCTTCGGGAAGAGACTGAGATGTTTGTCATGGAACTCTGACCCCAGTCAAGGCTGTCAGGCTGAGTGGGCAGGAAAGAATGTGGAAAATTGGGAAGTGGGTGCTGCTGTCACCCCATGTCTCAGGCTCCAGCTGGTAGTGAGAGGTGGGAGATGGGTGCAGGCCTGAGTGCCAGGGAGAGAAGCCAGGTACTTGGAATCCCAGCCAGCTCCCTTAACCTGCACTGTCCATGGGGGAAGGGCTGGGGCGGCTGATGGGTTCAGATCTTGCCCTCACCTCCCTCCAGCCCCTGAGATTGTCCCTAAGCTGGGAAAGGCTGTGAGGGGTTTCTGCTGTCCCTTCCTCGCCATCCACATCGTGCAGCTCCCTCTCCAGCAAAGATGGGGGTGGCTCTCTCTACAGATTCCTGAGCCCTGCGTCATCTGCTGACCAGAGAGCCCACTCTCCTGCTGCCGCTCTGGGGAACCCATGCCACCCTCAGCCCATTCTTGGTGCAGATGACAGACTGGGAGATACCTGGCTTGTGGTGAGACCTCAACCTGGGATCCTTGCACCCAGCCGCTGCCTCTGAACTGCTCTGCTGGACCGCAGGAAGTCCTCGGTGTGGGCCTGCACACTCCCAGCCTGCTTGGGGCCTGCTGCATGTCCTGGGCACTGAAGTGGCCACACGTCCTGGATGCCTGGTGCAGCACGTGCTGGCTGTGCCTTCTGCCTTCTGGCCTCTGAGGACATGAGTGCACACCTGTCCTGTCTGGTGTGAGGCAGCAGTGGTCTGACAGTGACCCGCTCCTGCTCCGAGTCAGTGCCTCCCATTTGCTGGCCTGCGGCGCCCCCGCCATCCAGGAATGCTGCATCACTTTCTGTGGCCCCTTATTAAATATGCTGGTAATGCAAGTTTCTGGTCTACCGTCTGTCTCCAGACCTTCACTCTAGGAATTAGTGGTTTGTTCCCCGGCTCCCCTCCAGTTTGACCTGCTTCTAGCATGTATAGCAACCTCAGTCCCTGTTCCCTGGCCTCTTCTTAGTGGTGGCCTTTCCCCTTGCACCCTCAGATCCACATCTTCCAAGGGTGGGTGTGAGGTGGGGGCAGAAAGCCACTCTCTCGCCAGCACCCGGCTGCCCCCGTGTGGCCAGTGTGGGCAAGAGCACCACTTCATTCAACCACTCACTGTTGGGGTCTCATCAGAGTCCAGCCTGAGCCCTGGCTTTTGAGAGTGGATTTCGTGAACATGTGCATGGAATTCTAGATTACAAAACCTTCCTAAACCTCATTCTCTTTGTTTGTAAAATGGCGATGACAATATCACTGGTTTGTCATTGACCAAATAGGTAACATGCTTGTTCATTGAAAAAAGTCTTTCTGCACAGTAATCATCCTCTAGCATCACTATTTTCCCTAAACCTGACCATCCCCAGAAGAGAGGAGAGGAGAGGAGAGGAGAGGAGAGGAGAGGAGAGGAGAGGAGAAGAGAAGAAGAGGAGGAGGGGAGGAGAAGAGGGAGAAGAAGAGAGGAGAGAAGTATAGAACTGACCAGAAGTATAGAACCAGGAGAGAGGCATAGAACCCGCCCTCTGTTCCTGGAAACACTTCATCATATTCTTTTTCATGAGTGTTTACTGAGTGATCACTCTGTGCCAGGCATGCTCTGGGGCGTGGGGATGAGGAGATAAACGAGACAGAGCCCCTGCCTCTGCAGAGCTCACAGTTTAGTAAAGAGCGGGCTCACAAAACTGAAGTTAAAGTAGACAATGAAAAGAGCCCAGAGCAAAAGAGCAGAGAGCAGAGAGTGAGAGCTCTGCTGGGGTTAGCAAAGCCCAACTCAAAGAGGAGGTGGCATCACCACTGGGTATTCGCCTGGCAAGAAGGGGGCAAGAGCATTTCAGGCAGAGATTTGGAGGGGTGAAGCAGTGAGCTTCGGAAGCAGGTGGACTGGGGCAGGGCGGGCAAGGGAGGCATGACCAGGGCGGCGGGTAGGGCAGCCTGGGCAGGAGTTGGAGCTTACCCCAGGAGCAGTGAGGCGTCTGGACGGTTTCAAGCCGGAAGTGACATGGTAAGATCTGGATCTTAAAGAACTGGAGGGTAAGTTTATGGTGGGGGTAGCAGGCTGGAAGCAGAGAAGAGGCAAGGAGGCTGTTGTCAAAACCCAGCAAAAATGATAGTTGCCTGGACTGGGGGTAAGAAGAGGGCCAGAGCTGGGACACTGGCTTTGGTCACTGATCGGATGTGAGGGATGAGGGAGAGGGAGGAGGGGAGGATTATGCTCTGGTTTCCAGTCTGAATACTGCGTGTGCGGCGGTGCCACCCACTGAGAGGATGTGTTATCAGTTAGGACTTTTTTGGTCTGAATTTATAGAAAACCCAAACTATATTTGGCTCAGGCAGAAGGCAACGTATTGGCCCATGTAACTGAAAAGTCTAGGGGTGGCTCTGGCCGCAGGCCCAGCATGATTCAGGGCTCCATGGTGGGAGCAGGCCTCAGTTTCCCCGCTCCTGTAGCTCTGCTTGCCTGCGCTGACTTCTGGCCATAGAGCCTGGTGGTCGAGAGCGAGGACTCGGGAATCACATGGACTGGATTTGAATTCTGGCGCCGTAGTGATTAGCTGAGTGGCCTGACAAGGCCCTTAACCTCTCTGTGGCTCAATTCCCTCTTCTTTAGGGTTGGAAAAATAGGGCCTGGCTTGTGCCACATTTTGTTAGGACAAAGTGGGATCCACACATGTAGGGTGCTTGGCACACACCAGACGCCAAGAAAATGCATGTGAGTGTCGACGGTGTGCATTCCTGGCCTCCATGTGAGGCAGACAATGGCTTTACGGCCTCTCAGGTTCAAACCTATCAGGAAAGAGGGAGGTCTTCTCCCACATCACTTGGACCAAAACCCGGAGTTTGCTGCCATTGAGCCTGTTTGACTCTGTGCTAACCCTGAAACAGTCCTACACTGAGAATATGGAATGTTCTAGACTTTGGTCACATGCTGTACTTGGATTGGGGTAGAGGTGGAGGGAACACCACAGACCACAGGGTCCAAAGTAGGGAGCTGTCTGTTCACCAAAGCTGGGCCTGGTTAGTCCTGGGGTGAACAGATGCTGGGTGGCCACGAGCTAACCCACGTCTGCTGCTGATGGGGCGTGGGCAGAGGCGCAGCCGATGAGCTCAGCTGTGGCACCTTGAGTTGCAGGGGAGCTGTCGGATGGACAATGAGTGTATAGGACTGGGCTTCGGCAGAGAGAGTTCTGAGCCCTGATGCTGCTGGAGGTGGAAAGTGATGCTTCAGGAATGCATCAGAATGAGGCGAGGAGGCAGGAGACAGCAGCCGCAGCCCTGGTGGATGACTACTGAAAGGCAGGGGCAGGAGAGGAGCACTCAGGGAGGCGGGAGGGAGGCCGAGGAGTGGGCTCTCTTGGCAGCTGAGGAAGAGAGGATTTCGGAAACTGAGGGATTGGCCAGGGGCCTCCATGCCCCGAGCAGTTCTAGGGTGCTGGGAGGGGACCTCCAGCCTGGGGCCTTGGAGGGAAGAAGTGGGGAAGACTTCTGCTCAGCTGAACCGCTCCCATCCCTATGCCTCAGCCTCCAAACAAAGCTCCATACAGAAGAAGATGGTGCCGCGGTTGCCTGCCAGTCCACTGCAAGGAGAAGCACAGACTTGCTAGGACACACTGCTTCATGCTGTGTGAATGCTTTCCCAGGCACCTGTCTCATATAGGCAAAATCAGACAATACAAAACCAAACAAATGTGCAAAAAGGATCCTCATCCTGCTCCACAGCTGCCAGGCTGCCCTTCCCAGTCGCATCTGACTTCCGCAAGGCTTCTGTGAGTCCTGCCAGGAGGCCAAGGCTGCAGCCACATGCCCACGCCCACACCCACACCCACGCCCATGACCACGCCCACGCCCATGACCACGCCCACGCCCACACCCACGGCTCCTCTGGGTGTCTACCTGCCCCAGCTCAGGCCTGAGGCCCCTTGAGGTTCCTTCTTGACAGGCTGTGCTTTATGGCCATGCCTTCAACCCTTTCAACCTGCTCACTCTGACATTGTCACTCTGGTCCCTTGACCTCTTTTACCTCTGCTTCCTCCCTGACCCTCAGCCCCTTCCTGCCCCGCTGCCCCACTTCCAGTGTAGATTGCATGGGCATTACATCAGTCACTGTCTTGCCATGTCCTAACCTCACTCCATCCACAGAACCATCCTGGTGAAACCTGAATCCTGGATGACTACAACTCTGTTCTTTGAACTTTTACCCAAGCTGCTGCTGCCCCCAAAGAACATCACACCCCTGAGCAGACTGATGGCATGAGAACGGTCATCGAGTCACACTGCCTGGCCTTCGCCGTAGCCGGCTCTCTCTCCTGGTGCATTGCTGCAAGCCTTCCCACTCTTTCAAACCTGACCTGCCGCCTCCCAACTCAGCTCAGGTGGCCTCTCCTCCTCCTCCTTCCCACGGAAAAGAAGCGGGCAGAGGAGGGCCGGCCCGCGCCCCTGCAGCCCCTCCACCCCGCTGCTGAGCCGGCCCCCTGCCCCCGCTTCCTCCTTAACTTGATTCTTCAGTTGCTCCTCTGCTGGCTGTCGCGTCCAAGCACACTCCGGTTTCTGCCGCCTTAAAATAGCGCTCTTTTGCACCCACTGCCGCCTCCGGTTACTATCCTATATCTCACTTGTCTCTATAGCCAAACTTCTCCAAAGTTACCCACGCTTGCTGTCCCCACTTCCTGGCCTCCTGTTTATGTCTCCATCCTCTTCAGCCTGGCCACCACCCTGCCTAAGTTGATGGCCAGGTCGTCAGATGCCCTGGGTGGTTGCTCCAGAAGCTGCTCTCCCGGCCACTTCTGCGGTGGCCGACCCCTTCTCACAGCTCTCCTCCTGCTCCTTGGCAGTTCCCACAGAAGCTCAGTGCCATCAACAGGAGAGGAGGAGACTGTGGGCTCCAGAACACTGCTGGGGCTCCTGCCGGGTCTGCTGCTTACCGTGTGAGTGAAATCCTCTCCGTCCTTAGGAAAACGGGATCATGATCACACTCACCTGACGACACTCTAACGAGATGAAGTGCACCTCAGTGTCTAGGCACCTGGGCTCTGGAGTGCTGCCGGGTTGGATCCAGGCTCCCTCAGCTCCTAGGCCTGCCCTTGGGGCATCTCCCCTGTCTTGTACCAGGGTTTCCTCTTCTCCCAACACCAAGTTCCTCCGGGCTCTTTCCCAGGCCTTCCCCTGGGCTCCCTCCGCTTCCCCTGGATGGAAATCACCATCTCTCTGCCCATGGCTCTGAAATCAGCAGCCTCAGCCTAACCGGTCCCCTGAATGCCACGTTAATCTGCCCACCCATTCTACAGAGGTTTATTGGGCGGCTGCTGTCCCAGGCACTAGAGAACATGTTGTATGTGGGACAGGGGGTCGCTGTCCCACGGAGCCTGCAGACTTGCTGGTGGGAAGGGCCCTTCAGTGCGCTTGTCAGCAAATGCATGAGGCGCCTGCAGAGAGTGACTGTGCTGCAGGGAAAGGTGGCAGGGTGACGGGATGGAGACCTGTGGGTGACATTGGTGAAGGTGGCCAGGGAAAGCTTCTCCAAGGAGATGACACTTGAGCTGAGACCTGACCTGCGAGGAGACTCCAGCCAGGGAAGATCTGGGGCACAGTGTTCCTGCCAGAGGGACAGGAAGCTCCTGGGGTGGGAGTGAGCCTGGTGTGTCTGAGGGGCAACCAAGAGGCTAGTGCGGGTGGGAAGGAATGCGGTCGGGGTGGAAGGCGCCAGAGCACGCCCACAGCCAGGTTCTTCTCTCGGGAGCTATCTCCCTGGCAGGTTCTGCAACTTAGACGATGCTTTCTCCACCCCAGCAGCTGTCCCTGATTCCCCTCTGCAGCCAGCATGTCACCAAATATGGTCCTTTCTGCCTGA